CGCCTGGCCATTTAAAAGCCACCCCAGTGCCCCTGAAGTAGTATGCTCCGCAACCAAGGTTCTTATTGCCAGATGCGTCCGTATATAATTCTAAAAATGGCAGTTATCTGCCCAATTTTTTTCTGTAAACATAACATAACCATTGAATTTTTCAAGAAATGTTAGCCAAATATTCGCATCTTCTTTCATGCCTTGGTTGACTCTAATAAAATGGAACGGTTTCTTTACATACGACATGGCGTCATAAAAAACGTCTATTAAAGGCACGGCCACTGGGAATAGCTTTTTGATATAAAATTAAGTAGACCAACGACTGATTGTAAGTCTTTGAGTCTGATCTTTTTAGCGTTTCTTAAACAAACGAGACAGTTTTTTCGCTTTCCTTATTTTTTCTAAAGGCACCCTCACCATTTGATTGATTGAATCAATTTCAAGACCCAGGTATGTTATAGTTGTAACAGGTCCCATCCATTTTTCGACACTTAGGGGGACACCAAGTTCATTGCAAATTTTATCAAAAGTTTGCATTAAATTCAAGCATTTTTCAAAAGATTTTTCTGCCATAAAAAAATCATCTAGCAGGTGATCAATATAGTATGATTTTGATTCTTTAGACACAAGCCATTGTAAAAACTTTGAAAATTTTTCAAAAATAAAACATGAACATGATGCGCCTTGTGGCAGCATTTTTTGAATCCAATAATCCTCCTCGGTTTTTATACCTAATAAATCAAAATCGCCTGGCCATATAGGGCATAAATTAAATGCAGAAGAAATGTCAGCTTTTGCCATAAAAGCAGAACCCCCTATTTCTTGAACTATTCTTACTGCATTGTCGAATTGTGAATATTGAACATGGCAAAATTCTGGATCGATAAAATTCATTTATACTGTTGCCTGGTGGGTATGAAAGGTGCGTTATTAATCTGAAACCACCGTTTTGTTTTGGTACGAGACCTACGGGATTTATTCTCAGATTAGTAATTGGCTGGTTTTTGAACGGTCCTAGGATTCGCCCAAGTAAAAATTCGTCGTGAAGCTTTTTATTTAAATAAGCATTTTTGATCAATTGCCGATTTGAGATTTTTGGAAAAAATAGAGATTCTTGGTCCGGTATATTCGAGCTTAAAAAACCAGTACTAAAGCCTTGTAAAATGTAATTGGCATCATCCTTATTTGGGTATTGAAACAGTTTTTATCAGCGAGACCCGAGATATTAATTGGGTGAAAACCCGAGGTCCCATAGGCACTCTTTGAGCTGGCAATCCAAATACCTGTCGAGGGTATTGCATCTGGAGTGGTCTGAAACGTAATGAAGGCCTTACATGACGCGGTGTGAATTGTGCTGTTTGTTTATTTGCATTGTGTATTGAAGGGTGGTTACCAAAAGCATTTGATGCAAACGTGTGTTTGTAGGTACATGATCTATTTGTACAAAAGCCTTTGTTATTTAAAGTCATAACATTTTTTTGAAAATATTCAGAAGTGCCGGCTGGCTCAAGGACTGAATAGCTGCATATATATCATCCACAATTCTGGGTCAATATTTTGCCACTTTACACACCAAATCGATTGATTTTTTAAGCCTAAATTGCCTATCGTACTCGAACCATCCGACATTTCTGGATGCCGCTAAACGAATGCTTGCAAAATATTGTAATAGGTTATTTGCTTGTTCTGGATGTTTCATAATGAAAATACTCATGTACACCACGAATGCATCTGACCAAATTTCTATTTTTCCTATTTGTTTCGGAATTTGCTCTTGGGTACTCATTATAAGTTCCCCATCAACAAGTTGAATCTTTTGTCTATTTTCTAACATATTTTTCTTTGGCAACAAAGTGTGTAACTCTACAAATTGATTGTTCCATATCTTATCTTTAGTACTGACAGTTACATGTGCGCCTAGCATTGTACCAGAACAAGTATTTATCATGAAATTTTTGGAAACTTCACCTTTATTAGCTTCTAAGTGATGAAGATCAACATGTACCGGAGGTCCGGATTGGCCATCCATCTCGTTTTTTGCACAGGGCTCCCTTACAGGTCTGTCAGCTGGAGGCATGGCTGTAGAAACAGACGTTCGAGTGTTCCTCCTATTATTGACTTGCTGTTGGAGCGTGTCTCGTGTATGGCCACGTTGTTGGCGATGTTTTGGCATTGTCGAAAAATAAAATAATATAAATAAATAAATAGATCTAAATAAATTAAATAAATAAATTTGTGTAGATCTTAATAAATTATTATTATTAAATTTTTATTTGATCATGATGTATTTTATTTATTTCATACTTTATATATTTCGACTCTATTTACTCTTATCTTTATTTTCTTAGCCTAGATGAAATGACGTCATAGGTATGATGTCATGCGCGTGGATTTCAATGAGACTGATAATTTTCCCGTTGGAAAACATGACCCGTCATAATCGAGTTATAATAAATAATATTGTATTTTTAACCATTTTATAGCTATGCTCATTTATTTAATCATTCATAAGATAATGATAATATCATAATAATCTAGATTCTAAGTAAAGATCACGTGCTCAAACATCAAATAAATATACAGGTTTAAACTAGATCTAGATCCCATTTTTTATTTATTTACTTAATATTTCAAAGAAACCTATTAACTTTGACATATATTTTGTGTAATCAAAGCATCCAAATTGATTTTTTAGACTACTGACCTTAACGAGAAAAACATGGGTCATCACCACGTGGTCATAAAATCTGGTCAAAGTTCTTATCTGTTCAAGTTTAAACCCCAAATAATAGAACAAATAATAACAGAATATAAAATATATCTAATTTCCTGTGAGATTAAATAATACTGATTCATTCAATATTTGATTTTTTTAATTTAGATTTTTTAACGATAAACTAGTCTACCTCTTCTATGGTGTCCACGAATGAAAGACCGTTCCCAGAATTTTTTCTGCCTTATATATGACATAATCCAGTGTAGGTTGTCTCCCCTGACAACTCTTTTTGAGGCCCTACTGGGGTGTTATAATAAAAATGTTAAGTTGTAAGATTTGAATAAAAGATTTAATCCTCTAGCGGATAAATCAAATATTAAAAGCGATGAAATTGCCACTTACTTAAAAACCATTCTTTACTTATCGTTTTCCAATACAATTGGTAAGAACAATAAACGCTATAACATTTTCAAAAACAAATATTAAAATTCGTATGTTATCTAGCACAATACAATTATATTCTTTTTTGAAAAGTGTTTACATATATATGTATTTTCATTCAAATTATTTTTCAGAGATAATATATAGCCTGTGATAAGGACAGACAGAAAGAAAGACAGACAAATATATATTTTATTTCAATCAAATAAGGCTTATAAGCCTACGATGACATGATAGACAACGAAAATTATCACTAGATATCATTAGTGTATGACTAACAATGTCCCTTTGTTGCGATAGACGGTCAATAGAAAGTTACATTGACCTCAAAAGTAGGTGGAATTGAATAAAAACAAAGTACGTCATAAAGCATGTAACTAAATTTAAAAATCTATTTAAAAAAACTGGTTCTTTACGTCTTTACATATAACTTTACGTGAAGTGAACATATTCGTATCATCACCAAAGTCTACAATAATTGTATAGAATAGAAAATATTATAAGTTTTTACAACACAATGTTTAACAACGATATGTATAATAACGTGCTTTGTGCAGGTCAAAATAAATCTATGTTCTTTTCTGCTCTATCATATTTGATATATGAAATTAGCAAAAGACGTGAAATTCAACTGTTTTTCTTTTTGACGTTTTCTTGAATCCTTGTAACTGATTTCGAAATATTTCACCATAACATATTCTTCAAACCCTATCTTAATAACAGAACAGAACAGAACAGAACAGAAATTAATAACAATGCAACGCAGTTCTTTACCTTTTAAACATTATAGCTTTGACTTTTAGTTCAGTACTGACTATGTCAACATGGACATGATCTATGAGCGTAATTAGAATATATTCAAATAAACAAGGGACACTACCTTATTTGAATCAAAGCGGGATATTTGTGTTATGAGTTATGTTCCCGTTATACTGTGCTAATTTAAGAAATTAAATAATTTATTTTTGTCAATTTTACCCTTAACTCGCCTGTTAAATTATACTTTTAGTTAAGTTTAAATCTCAACAATATTGCGAAAAATATACCAATATTTTCAAACTTTTTCTTACAGAGAAAGTAACTGCATAAAAGTGTAGATTCTCGTGTATCTATGGGAGTAAAGCCATAATACCTTATTTTGTTTACATGGGTTTTTACAAATGTTGATGAGTTGTTAATATATTGAAAAAGAAGTAAAATTAAGACAATTTTAATAACTATTTTTATTCTTTTATTCATTAATTTTGTCTTTCAGTTCAAATGAATTCATTCACAGCAACATTTTTAAAATGCTTTTACAAAAGAAAATCTGTTTTAACTCATATTTTATTTGCATATACATTTACTTTCATCCTGTTGTCTAAAATTGATTATTTAACCATCAACAAGCAGTTAAATGATTTTCTAGCATTGGATTATTGTACATGAATAAATAAAACATGTGCACAGGTTTTTATGCAATTGAATTCCAAATTCTTTTTCAAAATCATATAAATTTAATATAGAATGACACTGAAAGAGATTATCTTGTATTGTATTTGCCTCAAGGATTTATTTTTCATATTGCTAACTAAAAGTTGTTTTATTTCCTCAATATGAGGCAACAACTGATTGAAGAATCATATCATTCAACTTCAGCATGTGTACTTATTTTTAAGTCTTTACTTAAAGGCACATTATGCCTAAGAAATTCATATTTTTAAAATTCTCTAGACATGCCAAACATATGTTTGATAATGTTTTTGAAGCAGTTTTCTGGCTACATTAAAAGGAAACAGACCCCCGTCCAAAGTAAATTGTTGATACATGTGGCATAAGATATCTTCGTTTAAATAAACCTATCAAATAGTTTTTAAAACATTTTTCTTGTAAAGAATATGTTTCTCCTTTTCCGTTTAACATTTATTGTTTGTACATACGGTCCGTAATGTCTGGCTAAATGACCTTTATTGCAGAAATCAAGGAATTTAAAAGTAGCAAAAATAGTCAGGTACGGGAGAAACTCGAAGAATAAGAGCCTCGCTAACAGCCAAAAATTAATGTGCACCAAACAGCTTAAATAAAGAATACACCTATTAAGATTTGAGAAGAAATTCAAACAAATCAGAAATATCGGGAAAAGTGGCAATGCGCTCCTTATATTGAGACCTCTGTCAACGTAAAGATTTATTCTTTTGGAGAACACCAGAAGAATAACATAACACATTAAGGACAGGAAAAATGACATGGTAAAAGAATGTTTTGCTATATAAAGCATCGTAAAAATATCAAATAATTTGATTAGCAGGTACCAGAATATAATCTTTCTAGATTGCACAGAAATACAAAGACTAAAATCAACCACTTTTATATCTGGTTTTTCAAACAAATAGTTCAATAACCATTGCACGATAGACGAATTTTTTACAAGTAAAGATTTGATAACAAGTTTACTGAGGAGAGGAAACGCAATAGCCGCGTCCTCTGTCTGTGTTTGGGCATTCTTTAGAATAATTTCAGTGTCATTTTCCTCGGTTAGATCAAGGTTATCAATAAATAAATTTGTTTGACTTTCAAGCTGTGCTGCTTCTTCGGCTGCATTGCTTTCAATATCAAATTGCTTTAAATCAGGATGTTTATTTATATTCATAGCATTCTTTATCCTAAAGATTGCTAAAAGTTTTTTGAAAAAGAATACGTAAGTTGATTTAGAAACCGTTTTCAGTGAATTTGAACAGAAAAGATGTACATGAGTTAAGAAAAGAAGCACATGTAAATTACATAGAACGTTAAAACATAACTGCCTCTTCTCGATCTCTTTCACATGAGATTTTTGCTTATCATCATGTTTGTCACATGAACACTTAGAATTGTAATTTTCTGTCTCCTTTCCTACTTTGCCAAACTCACCTCTGGGCTTTTCCACCACTGATTCAAGAACAGTGTTCAGTAAAAGGCTTTCGGGGAAACATTTGAGATGTGCTTCTATACTGTGCTTTCCTTTTTGTCGTAATTTACATTCCCGTCGACAATTTGGACATGGAAATGAAGTTTTTCTTGTGTTTCCATTATCATCCAAACAATGCATCGTTACCAAAGAAACGACACATTTCTTACAAAATGTGTGCTGACATGGTAGAATCCTTGGACTTTCAAATTTATCAGTACAAAGCTGACACGTGATCAACGACTCTGAACATTTAAAATATACTGTATCAGTACTGTCACAATATGTTGATGAAGTCGCCATAGTGTAAATACTTTCAGATTCTGAAACGAAATTTTTATCACACGATATTCACTTTCATTGAGTATTACACGAGGGAAAAAGTACATAAGCACTTGAGCTCATTATATACAAACAGTCAATTTATTAACATAATTATGACTTTTTTCACAATCCAACATGGTATATTGAATATTAAATATTAAATTTAAATTTGCAAAAATGTTGCTATATTAAAGTTCGTAGTAAGTCCTGGATTGCTTTGCTAGGACAATAATATTCCAATTAGCCTTGATAGTTAGACGAGGTGCATTTATTTCATCTTAAACAGGCATTTTAGAAAAAAACAAAACTACACGATATTCTACAAGTAGATGTAGGTACACATAAAAAGTTTAAGTATAAACTAAAAACTTACTTAAATATCCCTTTTATTGTCCGTTTCCTCTAAATGTTCTGCCGTTTACTTTAACCGATATCAAATGGGCATGTTATCATTCACTTCGAAAAAACACTCCCTTTTACAGGTATAAAGTATATCGCATATTTGTGTTTCAATGTTTCATTAAAATGTACATTGTATAAACTTAATCAAACTTCGATTTTTCTTATCGCATTGTACGAAATAGCTTTTTGTTCTTTTTAAAACTTAAACAAATTACGCAGTACAAAGTAAAGTTATTTATTTCATACCTTATGAAATATAGCCTATACGTTTTCAGCGGTGTTACCACTTTATGTTCCAAAAGATTTTTTTCCCTAGTTTCTAAACCGATGCATTTTATCCAAAAGCGAAACAGTTTATTTTTTGGTGGAGATAACGTGTTTAAGTATGATTTAATTTGAGTCTGTTCCACGATATTGAATCTTGGTAAACAACAGACAGTAACTGTTGCACAGTCTTTTTTTTGTATGAGGAGTCAAGAAAACATTGTCTTACCATTTGAAGAATATGTAAATAAAATGTTTTGCATTTAAATTTGGTCATAAAATGTTAGGCTGATATGTGTGAATGTTTTTATGTACTTGTTATTTTTATTGACGACTCGTAAAATAAATCTTGTCATTCCGCAGTATATCATGGGTCATATTCAAAATCATATAAGACTCGGCTGCTTCGTAGCCGGACAAGTGTTTAAACTGCATATTGCAATAGAATAAGTGTTTTACTTTCCATTATCTCGCATGAACAGGGTCAATCAAACAGAGCCTGCAATTTTCACTCTAAACATTAGTTTTTAATGTTCTAAAGGGATATCCCATTGTCAAGATTATTTTATTTAGAAAATTTCAATCGATAAACGAATATAGGTTCTCCTGAAAGCCTTTACAAACAAATTTTGTAGCCGGAAATATTGCCTCCGTCGGAATGCATGGGTTTACTTGAAAATCCATGAGGTATAATTGAAATGATATCAATGCTACCAATCACATCAACCTTAGCGACTGCTACAGAAGGAACGACACTTTTTTACATATTATATATCACTGAACAGTTAATAGAAGAGTTAATGCCATTTAATTTTGTTTAATAAGCGTATAGCCTATGATATGATTAAATTGAGTTTTAGTTGGTTGGGTAGTTGGTTGGTTGATTTTTCTTGTTTAAAACACTGACACGAATCTGTGAAACAATTTTTAATACTATTGCGGATTGTGATTACGTAGTTAATTCAACACAAAGCAAGAAGAAGTCACTATAAAATGTTAAGAGCAATTTGTATATTTAAGAGTAGCTACATACAATTAACTTGCTAAGTTACACAAGTAAAGTATAACAAGAGTATACATTGCCATACTGATGATAATTCTTACCTTGTTTGAATTATTTTGCCATTTTTTGAAAACAAGAACATAAATATTTCATTAAATAACCCCATTTTGGTAGATGTTTTATTAATATTATTTAATCACTTAATGTGAATTGATCTACAATAACCAGTCGTTATATATTCCAAATATTAATAAAAATGTTTATTATATACATATAAATGAAATATTGAGAAATATTGATGAAATAAAATGCGTATTTTCATTTTCCGTATTTTCACTGTTAAAATTTATTTTTCACTGCAGTGAAACATATTTTCCGTATTTTCACTGGTGTCTTGCCGGACTACTTTCTTTTCAATTTTGCCAGTACACAAAATTTAAGGGAAAGTCTTTCAAATTTTAATGTCAAAAAAGATAAAAATGTATATAATAAACAGAAAATTCAAGTTTTTCTATAAATACATGATTTATTTTCATCTTGTGGCATGAAAATTACCATATTTCACTCGTGGCTACCGCCACTCATGAAATTTTTATTTTCATACCACTCGATGAAAATAAATCATGTATTTATAGAAAAAACTTGAATATCCTCTATATCCTTTGGATATTTCTATAAAGTATTTTTGAAAAACAAAATATTAATACACTTCTAAAATGATTTAGTATGAACATATATATGATGATTAATAATATTTCGTTCTAGTAAAACGTTATTGTCTGTTTTATATTGATACGTTGGATCATGTGTATCAACAACAGCCATATATAATTCAGGCTTGTTGTCACTTATGATGCTGAATAATATATACATTAATCAATTTCTTATCTATGGTATTACAGATCTTGTCACGGTACAGAGCAAAGTTTATCCGTACTACTATATGCTCTTTTGATTTAGTTAACTACAGCATGTGATTATGATGGAGTAAAGGTAAATAGATAAAAAAAAATATGAAAGACTCGGAATTAGAACAAGCGTCCATTGTTTTTGTAATATTCGGGTTTTCTTCCAGAATAAGAAAATGGCTATATTTGCATATTTATGATAAATCTAATTTAAATATACTTATATACATATCTATATATATATAGCTTTTGATGTATGGCAATTTATGAAGGTCTTATAGTAGGAATCTCATTG